ATGTTGCCGACCCTTGAAGTGTTAGTTGCGATGAGATGGGGTCGTCTAATGTGGATGATAATTAAGTAACATGCATTAAACTTAAGTGAGTTTGTATGCACGCGCCGGGCTCGGCATTAATGTGACATTACTGCGTGTCGTTCGGCGCGTCCCTCGCCGGGTGCTGCTGGGCACTTGTCAAAACAACCCTTAAAACGTATAAATTACACTTTAAGGCCCTCGCCGCAGCACTCCCCTTTCGCGTTTAGTGTTTAGGTTTACAGTTGACTTTACTGCTTCACCCCTGTTCAAGTACCTACTTTTAAAGTAACAATGTTAGATATACTACCTATAGATGTACCTATGTAGATGCTGTAGAGACTAGTAAGTTAATTTTATGTTATCTTTCAAATTTTTTGATGATATTTGAAGTAGCGTTGTTTCAGCGCTGTGGATGTTAGATCTTATTAGCAAAGGTGAGCGACGTGAATAAATGATGCTGGGCCCAAATAACCAATAATAACCGGCGCGGCGTTCGATAATAATGATGATGATGATGATGATGTTGGCAATCGATAAACGATTTGTAAAAGTCGCGCCGAGGCGAAAAAAAAAACAACACAACACACAGTGGGTATAGGTGCAGGCGCAGAAGCGTCCGCGCTGAGGGAGTCGTCGATTTGTACCTCCGCCGATCAAGCAAATAATCTAAATAATCAACGATTGCGCGCGCGTACGCGCCGGTGCGCTGCAGCAGCAGCCCGACTTAATTAAATTCCGGCGCTGCGCTCGATCTGCGCGCGGCAGTTATGTTAATGCGAAACTGCGCGGCGCGCTTAAGTCCCGCGAACGCTCGGCACGTTTGCGCCGCGCCGAATTAAACGACGATATCGTGTTATATAATCGAAGAGCACGCGGATTGGGCGCGCAGCGCGCACGGGAACGAACATGGTGTACCTCTACTCGCGAGGAGTCGAGGAGTTAATACCGTTTTAAGCGGCCGTGGTAAATATAAAATGTAAATTGTAAAAGGGGGCGATTATGCAAAATTACGACCGCCGCGGCCGGCAGCTTACGTGGTCTTCTTTGTCTTTTAGTGGCGAGCGAAATGACTAACCGATCGAAGCGGATTGAATACGATAATGTTGGCGAGTTGTAGGTTGCAAAACATCTTCGTGCTTATATCGAGGGAGGCAAAAAAACGACGGCCTACAGGATTTAACTGCTTGCAGGGAAAGAATAACTTGTGTGCTTTCTGATTACCCTGTATACAAGCGGATGGTATGCATTGCATGAGTCCACCTCATGTGGTCAGACATGGATATGTGAAAAACATATAAAAAAATATTAAAAACTGTTATTAAATAAAGTACACGGTAAGTTTATATCAATTTGATCAATCTCAAAATGGTTAATAACCCGGTGGAGCGAATGCGTTATTAGCATAACATCTTTATTACCCGCGCCCGGCGATACCTGCAATTGGTCAGACAAGGAGCATCAGCATCACAACATGCACAAACCAAATGCTCGATCTTTTTCTTCGGCTTGCAGCATTTACATACGCATTTTCATCCTTTTGAATGGATACACAGAAAATGTTCCCGATTTTCCTCTATAAACCAGCTTAAAATTGAAACTGAAAAACCAAGTGAACTTTATTACATATTGAATTACTGCAAGCGTCCATAATTCTTCGGCGGTTGGCATGCGCCCCAGCCTATCGACTCGTCTATCTAGCGAAAGATAAGAACCCAGTGCGTTGGCCCAGGCCGTGGAAATGTGGCACAACGACATAATATTTAGTCTATGCCGCATCATTTGATATATTGGATTCAATTCGTCGTCCGGCATGATGCTGCTTCCGATATTTTGGTCTGTCTGGTATAATATCCAATTTGATGATTCCTCCCCACCGAAGGCCGATAAGGCACCCGCGCGCCGCATGCACCGTCTGTTGGCACCAAATCGCGGAATTCTCGAAATTATTTATTTGCATGCGATGGATTCGTATCAGGGGCAGCCACTTAACTTTGAAATGAGTTAAGTATGAAATATGTACCAGAACATGATTGGATTAAATCAATGCGTGCGGATATCTTTGCCGACTGAATGGGAATTGTTGGCTTTGTATGACGCGGGCAAATCACAGATCGGTATGTGAATAGAATCGAATTGAATCGAGTTGCTGAGCTGGATTCGAGAAGAATAGAATTTTCTTATTTGCACCAGCGGCGAGTTTTATTTGTGAAAACTGGATTCCAGCATCTTGATATAGATTTTTCCTCCTCATCTTTGGTGCATTGTTGAAAACAATATAAATTTCAACTTTCGAGAAAATGTTTTCGGATGTTCGCGAATCGATGAATTTCGTTGTCGAATTTTATGATTGCTTGAGGAATTCATTTATGAATTCAATATATTGAAATCTCGAGATAAAATCAACCATATATTGCATTCAATCAATTTTGCTTATCGTGGAATATATCATGGAGTATCTGGTAGTATCATGACATCCCCTTATGTTTTCCTTTGCTGAAAAATTCATTACAAGATATTCCCCCAATCAAACCATCGCAATCTTTGATATTTCTGTATTTTCCACAGAAAGAAATCTTTATTTGCATGAAGTTGAATGAAAACGCAATAAAACGCAGCCCGCAGGATTCCAGAAGACACGTACATCATCTCAGATTTATGTTTAATAGAAAATGTCAACAGATGACACATTTATCACGGGTTGTGTTCCGCCGCCCGGAATGCGCCCTCGTGCGCGCCGCCGTTTTCCGCTCGGACGGGAATAAAAATAAGTTGAATTGGATTTCGCCCAGCGCGCTGCGCGACTCGCGCGGCCAAACAAGATGAATTATATCACCAGTAACAATGGCAAGCAAGTGATAAACAACCGCCACACGAAAAATACGCCGCTGAATTCGGGATGCAACGCGTCGTCCGTTTGCATAAGTTGTAAATTTCTTTATCGTCGCGCGCGGGTTTGTTTGGTTTCCGCGGAAATCATAACTTTTACGAGCGGCACGCAGGTTTTCCAATAAACATTAGGAGAATGTTATTTACACACGCCGAACACATTGGAGAGAATAGGCACTTATCGTAAAACAAGATAATTACTACCGTTTGTATTGAAAATTTATCGCCAGCATTTTCCATATGGTGAATTTTTATTGATTTCGTTGCACTGACTTGAAATTATCGTCAGCGCTCATCGTCGAGCCAGGTGGATTTTTTAACAGCTCATTAGATTCAATCATCTTCGTCAAATTTAAGAAAAAAATTTCATGATATCACCAATAACAGTGGCAATATACAAATACAGTAGAACCTTGATAACTCGAATGTCAAGGGAAACCAAAAAAAATTCGAGATAGCAAGTTTTCGACTTAACAAGAATTTCGAGATATGAAGAGTTAACTCATCAAATTTTGACATAAAAAGGCACAATTTCATAGAATATTTATTACGACAAATTACATTAGGTAACATAAAATGAGAGTCAAGTACATAATTATAATGAATGAACTTACACTGTATGTTTTAAATAATTGATAAAAAATCTGTTATCTTCGTTTGATTCAAACCATTTACAGATTTTCGTTGGTTAACGGTTTAAGTTTTTCAGTGCCTGTTATATTTGTGGCTTGCAATATTGTTAATCGCTCTTTACTGTGCTTCCCACAGTAAACACTCGAAAAAAAGGCCAGTCTCATCGGCATTAAATACGTCTTTTGGTTCATAATCTTTCAATAAACTCTGCAACTCAATATGCCACTCATCACATATCTCATTATTGACACTTGCACTTTTGAATTCATTCCTTGCACGTGTGCAAAATAAAAACAATAGATAAGAGGCCCCGAGCCCCGAACATTCCTTTTTGATTTTATTGCCACTAGTTTTGAGCTCCGGGAATCCCGAGTTTTGAGCTCCGGGAATCCCGAGTAAGAAATCATAAAATTTTATGAACTTCGACTTACTGAGGTAGTATTTGCAGTTCGAGTTACTGAGTATTAAAATGTACGAGTAATAAATCACAGGGAAATAACTTATTGTTCGAGTTACTGAGTCTAAAAAATTCGAGTTAGTGCGTCGTTCGGGGTTCAGCGGAAGGGAATAGCATATCTTTTCGAGTTACTGAGGATTACGACTTAACAAGGTTCGAGTTATCAAGATTCTACTGTATTTCACTTTGAATTACAAATTATTGATATTTAAGTATTTAAGGGTCTTTAATTGTATTTTTTTTATTGTAATTGTAAAATGTAAAAAATACTTAACAATTTTTGATTTTTTTCAAATTTTTGTGATTTTCTAATCTCTTGTTGTCCATACTCCACTCTCCACAAGAACATCCTTTATCGCTTGACCGGCAGCTAAGTAACAAACAAAGCAATTTGTAAAACGATTTGTAGAGATAACGATAAATCAACTTTATTACGTGTCAATTAATCAATTGGTCATTTAGATGGTGTACTCACATGCACGCAACGCACACAGCGCGTGCGACAAATGTGAATGAACATTGTTCGACAACAAAATTATTATTTAGCGCGCACATGGGAAACTCAGCGTGTTTTTTTTTTTTGTTCGCTGTCCGCGTCGAGAAATCAGATTGATGTCCACTCAATCAAAAGCAACTCAATTCTATTGTTGGCGGACTTACAGAATGCACTCTCAGATAATTCGTTTCATCTCAACGCTATTCATATGTTGATATTAAGGACTGCTAAGTAAGTGCCAATAAAATCCGGCGGATTGTTGATATTTTTAGTTATCAACGGCTATAAAACTGTGCGGCACGTTTCGGTTCGGTTCGCGTAAATCTGTCGCCATATACTTCTGGATTGTAGTTTTATATCAATACAAGTTCGATTTGATTTTATTAATTTTATTTATCGATGACGTTTGTTTTATATGGATTTATAGAATGGTCGATAAAATTTATTTTTAACAAATGATGGCACGCATAACAAGTTATTAATAATTCGATATTTTGGGGTTTTCAGGAGGTGCAGGCAGCAGCAATGAAGCGGATTCGGAGAGCGCCGCGTCAAAGCGACGAAGAAGCCGCACCAATTTCAACAGCTGGCAACTGGAAGAACTTGAAAGGGCATTTATGGCCAGCCACTATCCCGATGTCTTCATGCGGGAAGCCCTTGCAATGAGACTGGATCTCAAAGAAAGTCGAGTCGCGGTACGTAAACAAAAAAAAAACTTTTTATTGTTTTTTTTTTATTAAAAAAATGCTTTTCCTGTAGTTTACACACATTGTATCTTTGGTATGTCATATAATAGTTATCATATAAGAGTCCTATCCACCCTGTACACCCTTAGAAAGTTATACAATTTTTTTTGACGACGAAAAACATTAATGTACGCTTATTTTGATCTGAAAATGATTTCTCTATAACAAGACCAGAGTATAATTGAACTCTATATTGTTTTTCTTTATTTGTTACCTCATGGGATAGATCCGTGAAGTGCAGGTTGTAGTGATTGTTGATATGTTGAAAGTTGCACGGTGGAAAAACTGGCGTTCGGCGCATAATTCACGCCGGTGTGAGATCGTTTCGTTCACGCAAAATTTAGATTGATTCGAAAATGATTGCCGGCTCCTTTTCCTCGCCGGCTTTTCGTGCGCGCACGGGCGAAGGCGTCATCATCGCCGCGGCCGGGCGCGCATTCCCAATCAATATTTATAATGCGAAACAACCGGTTATTACCCTCTTAAATAAAGTCATTAAAAGTCATGATACAAATACGAATTTAATGTGCACTTCTCTTTTATTAACTAACAACCAACAGGCCGGGGGGCGAAACGTGCAGGCATTAGAGGAAACGCGGCTTTTTCTAACAAGCCGTCCACAAGCGGCGCACGTGAGGCTTAGATAAAAATGCAAATTTCGTGCGCGCGCGCTCGACATGTGCCCCGACAAATTGTAATCATTATCATGGCAACGCTATTAACGCAACTTCGGTGGAAAAGAATATTACAACAAAAAAACACAACGCCACAATCAAAATTGAATCATAAAAAAGCAAATGTGTCGAATTATTTTTACATTATGTGAGAATATCAAAAAAAGCATCGGATATTTCGAGGTGAAAATTTGAATATTTTTGAATATCAACCTTTGGCACAATAAAATTCATATTCGGGCCGGAAAAGTGAACTCCGGGGCATATGCTCGCGTTTAGTTCTTATTCGATAAACGAATCAGTCGATAGTTCCCCGGAGAGCGACCCTTCGGACCGAAAAATATCCCCCGATAGCTTTCAGGCGCGCTTTAAGATAGACATTGCGCCATTCACCCCATGGCAACAGCGGCCGAAGAAAAAAATCGTAGACGTGCGGACAGAAAAGCAAGTTTACCCAAAGATCGAAGAGTTGACCTATGCGCGCGCCCTCGCCGCGCTCACGCATCTATTTCCCATCCCCTCGGTCCCACTTCGCACCACATTGCTTGTCGATATGTTTTGTTTCACTGCGCGAAACTTTCGCTGCGCGCACAAATTGGATTCGATGGATTCGACGTGGATGTGATGCGCTCCCCCGACGGGATTATTTATATTGACCACAACACCGCAACCTACCCAGCGGCATTTATCCTTCCTCCGCCTATTCCGAGGCGCTTTACAAAAATAGGGAAATAATAAAGGCGTGAACAGCGTCGTAAAATACATGCGAAGACACAATACAATCTAAATGGCATCAAGATTCAACTGAAATGCCATGAATCGACTTTAAAACGGCGCGCATCCAACACGAAATTAATTACCTTATCCGTATTACTATGATTATCAGCTTGGCGTCGTGAAATCTAGGAAAACATGTGAAATCACAGTGTGGCCATCTCGACGATCTTAATTAATTAATGGAATCTCATTACAAGCGTTGTTTAATGCATAATTGAAATGTAAGCGGTGATTATCTTGTTAAGGTATATTATTGAAGTTAATTATTCGTGCGCTGAGGCGATGCACGAAGACGGGCGAGACATTCTTTGTGCGGCACGTCGATGCCGAACGTTAATAATCATAATTGTGGTCAACACGGCGCCCCGCGCAATTAGAAGTTTACCGCACAAAAAAAAAACGAAGCGAAGCAGCGAGTCAACGCCGGACGGAGCGCTCGTTTCTTGTTAGAAACGAATTAAAATCGGATTTTTATATTAACGCGGCTCGCGTGGAGTGCGTGATGTTTTTAATTTCGTACGCCGTCGACAATCACGTCTGCACGCCGGCGAAGAGCTGCTAAACAATTATAACGTGCATTTAGAGAAACGAAAGAAGTCCGGCCAGAAAATAAATTAACAAGTTAAATTAAACCGCGCCGGAGTTCAAGCACAAGCGAGCCTCTCAAGAGGAAGAAGATAAATATATAGATCGACGAATAAATAATTGGCTGGAATCGGAATTAATTGCTTAATTATTTTTAATTGTTTCGCGTTCGAACGCGACCGGGCCTCCTAATTGCGACATCATTAATGAAGTGAAAATTGTAAATCATTTAATGCCACCAGAGAGTTCGTATACTTATGTGTGTGTTTATTCTTAATTTTTATTAATGAATCGTTTAATGAATGCGCGAAATTTCGGGCTGGAGAAAAAAATGTAACGGTGTGTACCGGTGGCGACGTTCGCACAAAACTATCCGAACTAATTATACGAAGCCTAACGACCAATTAATGCGGCCGATAAGGGCACGGCGAAAGAGTGCATAAATCCAAGCGGGTCGCTTATCACGCGCACCTTATCGCGCCCGCGCTAAAAACACCACCCACGAACGACATCCTTTGTAATAAGCGCCCGCGCGCGAATGGAAAACATAAAACTCCGTCGTCGTGCGTTATCTGCGCATTAATATTACGCCCGCGAAATATCAAAACGTATCAGCGACATCATCGCGAAATGAAAACATGCGAAAATTATGATGTAAATTCCCACAAGCAGGGTTTCACTTTGTAGTCAGATTAAAAAAAAGTTTTCAAAACAAAAAACGAGTAACTTCAATATCTACACATTTCTAAATTAATTAACATTAACTAAAGATTATCAAGAATCATTTCTGTTAGATGTCTAGAAAAAATTGTTTGACGAAATGAATTTTGAAGTTTTTTTGATGGAAACACCTGGGGAAACAACGCAGCCTTGTTTAGCCTCGAATGGGGTAGTTGAGTTGTTGGCGTTTGGCGTTTAAAAGAGAATTAATCCCCGAACTAATTAAAAACGATACCTTGGCGTTGATAGAAACACGCAAAACAACACGATTCATGCGAACGGGAAACGCGAACCAACGCATACACGCTCCCTTCGCGCGTTTCCAGCAAACGCACGAGGAAATTTAAATTACCGAATGCCATGTCGCTCTAAACATGTCACACAAAATACGATGCAATAATGAACGTCACAATTTCCTTTCGCGACCGCCGTGATTTCTTAATTAAAACCCGGTGGCGCACTCGGCGGGCCGCTCGCAAATTAATAAATGCGGTAGCGTTCAGCACGCGTGCGGATAGGCAACCCAAAGCGCTGCGAACGAGGCAAACGTGGAAAATTGATAGCGATGATAATGAATATTGCGTTCGGGCACGCCAGCCGGCAATAGAGGATCCCGGCCTTTTCGATCGCAAGGGTTAAAACACCACCACCGGCTGTACTGTATGGGGGTGCATGCCGCGACGGCTTTATTGCACGGTGTTATGTGTTACATACACGCGTGTTAGGTACAACCACTATAATTAACATGGTAATTTGGGGGGCGTGATGGCTGTATTTCTTGCTGCGGCGTGTAGTGGCCAGTCGGGCGGAGCGAGGAGCGGCGGAAGCGGCCGCAGGACCGGACCTCGACCGGTTTGCATTATTTTCGAATTTTCCGCCCCGGGAGACGTCGCGCTGACCGCCCGGAGGCTGATTGGTGGGTGTCCGGATGAGTCACGAGTTTTTCTCGCCGTGTGGCGCGCGATGGTTGATACGCGGGAAATTGCCAGTTGGAAATAACGCTTTTTTCGCGCCCTGGCAGCCGCGCGGCATAATTTCGCACGGATATACATATAAATTGATTGCGTTAAGGTTGATGACTTCATACCGCACGCGTGTGGTACAAATTGCGGGGCGAGAAAAACGAGCGAGGCATCTTTTTGTTGATTTGCGGCAAACGCAGCGGGAATTTAATGAAGACCTAACTGCAAACGGCGAGTGTGAGTGAAGTTTGAAGGCATTTCTTCGGCCCTCGGTCTGATTGATAACGGAAATTGTAAAACACAATGCGAGAGCGTGTGTTTTCAGCGGCCGGTGGTTTGCGCCCGTCGCGAAGCCTGTACTTATCCTGGCGAGGCGCGTATTATACGATTTGTTTGCGCCGTCGTTAGGCGCACTGCTGCGGCCGGTCGTTAAACGTTTCGAAAATTAACGAAAACCAAATGGCAGCCCTTTTTCACTCCCCGACTTATAATTACCGCTAATTAGACGCGTTTAAAGCCGGCACTATTATTACGTAATTAAATACGAAAGTTGATCGCATCAATTTCTCTATCTGCGCGCGAGCCGTCCTTCTCCAGCGCGTATTCACTTACTTGTGCATGATATAGGCACAAGCAGGCGCACGAATGAAGTGTAAATGTTGTTTTTCCTTTGTATGCGTCGTTTTTTTTTTTCGCGCCGAGTTCAACCTGACTCCGAGCGCGCGGCTTAAGTGGAGGCGCGCAGCGCGCAAGGATATCGTGTCGGAGCGCTGAAGAAGCGACGCAAGCGCGAGCGCACGAATAGGCTAAGCGCATATCGTTAATAACTTTATTTCGAGAAGATTTATGAAGACATTCATGTCGACCGGTGTAAGACATCGGGGCTCGGACGCGCGCACTGCGCGAAGGCTTTTTCGGCGTTGTTGTTTCTTTATATTTTTTTTAACGGCCTCATCATCGCGGATAGATTTGGCTCACTCCGGCGCGCCTGCTCGTCTGTAATCCCATCGAATGTGTAATATTTTTCCTCGAAAACAAGCCGCAGCGGCCCGCACGGCCGGGAAAGAAACTGACGGCGAGCTGGATGCGTCAAAACGCACGGAATTTCTAAACCGTCCAAAAGCGCTGCGAGATGAGGAAAAAATTACACGTTTTACGCTCGCACGAATGATGAATAGGACTAATTATGGTGTTGTTAACTGCTACAAGTTTCACGTTACCAGTTACAACATTCCTCGTGCATTATTTTCGGCTAAATATTGTGTTAGACGCTTTTGATTTACCGCTGCGAAGTGAATTGTAACAATTTAATCAAAACATGTAGGTAAATGATGTGTTTGTTGTTGCAGGTATGGTTCCAAAACAGAAGAGCAAAGTGGCGTAAGAAGGAGCACACAAAGAAAGGTCCCGGCCGACCAGCGCACAACGCCCACCCGCAATCCTGCTCCGGTGAGCCGATCCCGCCCAACGAACTGCGCGCTCGCGAACGCGCCCGTCGACGAAAGAAACTGCAGAAGACGTTGGAGCGACAGGCGCGCAAGCTGCGCGCGAAGGGATTAGCCGTCGACCTGGTGGCGCTGAAGCGCGACTACCTCAACCAGCGCGGTCCCGACATTATGGACAGCGACAGCGACATCGACGTAGTCGGCGACAGCGGCGCCGAGTCGGAGAACCTTAACGGCAGCGGCGCCGACGCCTACCCCCCGGTAACGGACGCCGGTGTTGATCTCACTGCCGGCTCCCACGACGACAAGGTCCGTCGTCTCAACCCGTTCAGTATAGAATCCTTGCTGAACAACAACACCTGAGTCCCTCGTCTACTCTAATAATTTATTTATATTTATACACAAATCGAGACAGAAAAGGTATATATATATATATATTATATTATATATGAAAGAGGCGAACGAAGGAAGAATCGTTGGCGGATGAGCAAATTGTGTGTTTCAAACTAAACGACGGGTACTACCTGAATACGTCTTGTGCAATAATTTATATGTTAATCGGTTCGCTCTCCGAGGTCCCGGATGCGTTCAATCCCGAAACGAAAATGTTCCTCGCTACGATGTATGTATTACTTTCTCGTTATCGATCATTTCGGGCGGTCGGCGAGACGAGACCAAGAGACTGGCGCAGACCGCGGACACGTTTTTATAAATGAATTCCCCTTCGATCTCGCTCTCCAAGCCTCCCCACCGCACATCCCGCAAACCACTGGTTGTATATAAAATCCTAGTTTTCCAAACGTTTCCGTTCTTTCACCTCCGAGCGCATGCAGAACAAGAGAACACAAACGCTAACAAACAAAAAGAAAGAAATAATGTATTCTTCCCTGTGTATAAAAAAAGACTTTATAACTAATAATAAATTTAATGATAGTAATAATGAGAGAATAAATAAATAAAACTAAATAAGTGCAGATATTATGTGAATATAATTGAAAACGCCGTTGATAAACGCCGAAGAACGTCCGAGCGACGAGAAATAAATGACGCGGCGCATACAATGCGATGATTAACTATCGGCAACCTTTATATGTCAATAAACAGCTAATTAACGACGAGACAATGTGTCGTTACTCGCTCTGCGGCTGGAGATGAATCGAGTCAGGACGATGGTCGTTCCAAGCAATACACAACGTGAGCACAACAGCAAGGAAACGCGCCGGAGAAAAATCGATGACGGTTAAAGTTGCGCACCGAGCTAAACGAAAAATAACAAAAACGAAGTTCAAATTTATTAGATATCTCTATATGCAATTACTGATTATTCCGTTAGCTGTATGATATAATACTAAGTTGTACCGAGGAGACACAAAACGAAACAAAAACGACATCGACAGTGATAACCGATAAGTGGACGAATTGGTTGACACCGTGTGCAGAAATGTTTCGAACGTGAATTTACCAGATTAGCAGACGTAGAAGACCAGATGTGAGTGAGACAGATCAACAACGCCCTGTAGGTATAGAACCGCGGCTCGCGCGCAACGTAATGTTATGATATGATTAACTAACGCTGTTTTAATAACAATAATAAATAGCTACTAAGTAAGGCTGGCATATCGCGACTGGTTTATGCATTCTTGTTGTGACGAATGTCGAAACCAGGCGTTTGCGTTGCGTTGCTCGTCGAGAATAGTGCTGGCCACGATAAACGATGAACAGCGATGAGTATTCGCGTTGATAGACTTCAATCGTCTAGTATAACTGCCACATCCACATCCGGGAATTGTGTAGGAGGGAAATGAGGCATGATGTGATCGAAAACGTGCATTTTTTGTACTTAAATTAACAATTAACACATTCAAACGCAAGCGCAATGAACAACGGAAGACAAATGCATATTACCCACCCTAAATTTATCAACAAAATACATAAATAATCAATAAATATTGAATAAAATAGCAACGAAGATTACGGTTACGATTACGATTACACACACACAGATACAATTTGCAATATATCAATAAATTATAAATTAAACGAAGGCAACATGTGTAAAAACAAAACTAAAAATGTAAGGATTAGTCATTGATGAATTAACGAAGATTGTAATATTATTGTAAAATATGGTACATGTACGTGTGGATGCGTCGAATGTTTGACTGTTGGCTGAATCCGGTGCGCATGCGTATTGTGAATGACGAATAATTAATTGTACTAGTAAGATTGATCGAATCCAGTGATGAAATGAATGTCTCTTGGGGTATTATCGTTGATTGTATAGATAATATCGCTGATTATTGTTCCAAAAATGTTTGGAGGACACGAACACGCATTGCAGATGCAGTAAATATCTCTGATATCAAACTAATTAAGTATAACAATAAACATATTATTTATTAAACGCAATCTTTTAATTCGATCTCCTTCCATTTTCCCATAAAATCATGATTAATCATGATGATGCTGTTGGCGAAAAACCAAGTAAGTATAACGCACGCATGCGCAATTTAATACACAAATAAGATATCACCTGTGAGTGATTTACACTTAGATTTACGATTGACTAACGACGTGATTATACCGATGCTGGCAACAGTTTTTGTCGATTTCCTTCGGTGTCTTCGCGCCGGCTTTTGTTGATTGGCCGGCCGTCGAAGCTCTTGAGGAGTTGTGAGCGGTGTCGGGCTTCTGGTCGATGAAGTTCTTGTTCGGCAGAGATGAAGTCGCGGCACTCCGACGGCGTTCATTCATATGATGAAATGTGTGTCGGAACCAAAGCGTTCAAAAGGCAATCTGCTCGGATTATTCACGCTGTAATTTCATTTCGGAAAAAATCCATCTATTAAAATCATTGCGGCGAGGGCAATAATGATCACGAAGACAACCGCCCGACAATAACCATCAGCGCTAAATCAACGAGTCATCGAAAAGTCAAGAATTGAGGAAAATTGCTTTTCACTGCCATCAAACTAATATATTTGGTTCTAATCATTCCTCAAACAAGAAACTTCTTTCATTTACAACTTTACAACATTAATGTTCGTCAATTTATTGGATTTTACTTTACAAAATAAAAATTCCCGCATAAAAATTCTTCAGTTGAAAAATAGCACACCCTACAGCAACAAATAGTACCAGAGATATTCGCGTTTGTTACAATTGAGGTCTCCCCTATGATAAACAAAAAATGAACAAAATTGGTGGCACGTAGCGAACGCATGCGAATGTGAATGAAACGCCCAGAAAAAAAAGTCATCGAGCTGTCAGCGCGCCGCTATAATAAAGTCGTTCGGAACGAAAATGAGCGCCCCGACCGCACCAAAAACTTTTTCTCTTTGTTGTGTTCGGCGGGCAGTGCGCGGTCCGGCTAATTTGTTCTCGAGACCAGCACTATGCCGGCCATATAATTCTATTACATTATATTTATATGTAACTTTTCACTTATAAAATAGACGCGAGCGCAGGTAGCAAGCAGGTAGAAAGAGAGACTTCTCTGCTGACCGCGGCCACGACCACAAAACGCAACAACACCAACAACAACACCAACAACCGCACGCTGAAGAGCGAACGTAACGCGGAGGAGCCAGCAATCGATGCTAATTCACTTGCCTCGACTATGTGTATCCAATTGAATGAATATCAGGTGTTGGACACGCCACGTTTATGCTTTTTTCTTTTCTTCGCGTTTGTTGTACGCTTTGTTCGCCGGACTAATTGAAGATGTGAGAAATGACGGTAGCAGGCTAGCATTATCGAATTGGTAACAATGTAAGATAAATATTGCAGAGAGCAAAAAAAAACCTGTGAACAAAACACTGGATTTACTAGCCGCGTAGAAAAAGAGATAAGTATCGAATTGTAGTCCAGTTGTAGGATGAATATTCTCGCCGTACTATTGAATTGAACGTGTTTGATGTTAACACTTGTAGTCATGATAAATTTCTTTATGATAATGTGGCGCGTCGAGTGTGTGCGGGTTAAAAAACGCTTTCCGCAATTTTCCATCATGCTGTAATGCGAGTCAACACGTCGGGTATAACTAGGCATGCGTGTATGCGTACAATATGAGAAAAAGTGCTCGCGCAGGGGAAGTGCGAGCAAAACATTATAAATTGGACACGATCATGCCATAACGCATTAACATCGTGCAGTCCCTAACCATCCGCTTGCTCACGGCATATAATAACTATATTTTCAGGAAATTTGAGCTAGGAATTCATGTAACTATCATAACTGAAATTAGTTTTAAATTATATTTAACACAAATTATAGCGAGATAATAAAAGAACGCAATCGTTGATAATGTGTTTTTGATGTTAATTGCTACAGAATAATATAATGTTTGTTTAATAATTGCAAATATTTTTTCTTGCTAAATTGCGGTATGTTCGGTATTTATACGGCAACTCAAACTATGGAAATTAAAATATTTATAATAAATCATTTTTTTTGGCGCATTGTCCATTTACAGTTGAAAAAAACGTGAAACACGTAAATAATATTCTTCCTCGGCCCCCGGTCTGACATAGGGTGCGTGCATGCCGCCCCGCGTGCGCGTGTATACTGAATAGTTAGCCCCCTCGCAATCTCCACTCGCGTGTCGAGCGCGCAGTGTAACTTTAAGCACATTTAGAAGTCGATGTAAGGTGTAATTTTCGTCTATAATAATTCAATTATCTTCGAACGTGGCCGTGCGCGCACCCCGCGCGCCCGAAAATCGCCGGGGTATCGTTTCGCGTGACGTTCGCGTTTTTCGGCCAAAGGGTCAAGCTAATTTATTCATTTTTTCTCCAGCGTGTGCATTGTGCGAGTAATAAAGACGTCCGAGCGGTCGACGAGTGCCGAGAGCCGAGGTATAATCGCACTCAACACACACTCAACAACAACTACGCCGACGAAACTAAAAACAGAATAAAAAACGAACGCATTACAAATTACTTCTGACGCTAACTTCGCGCACGGGAAAATCAATTGGCCGCTTAAAAATATGACGAAGCCATCATTTTAAATTACCAATTAATTTGGGAGATGACTGTACACACGCTACAAGAAAAAAATTCAAATTTATGCTCGTAGGGAACTCGCCAGGTACAACAACGATCGAGATCATCACACACCACACACACATATGCACACAATCATCGCAACGAAAATGATTAAGTTATAAAACAATTTGAGCGCGAGATAGCATCGATAAATCTTCAATTTTTTTCTATTATGTAGGATGCGTTCATTCTCTTAGGTCGAGGAATTACCATAATAGTTTTAAATTTACAGATTCAACGATTTACCATGAGCTCCCATTGGCTGGACCACATTGAAAACGTCTACGCATTATTATTCAATGAAGCCAATTAATTTTTGTGTTTTTTCTTTTAATAAATTGCCCATTTAATGCTTTCTTTCTCTAATCTTTCGCGTTATTGCGTCCGTCGCGTTCATTTTAATATTTCGACGATAAATCTTCATTCTTTCCAATAATCCGTGACATAATTGCTTGTTTATTGCTGGAAATCTTTGCTCGAAACATAATTCGGAGAATTTTAGAAAGTGCCAACGAAATTTACAATATAATCACCGCATGCTTATATCTATAGGTATTATGTTGGCATGTTTAATAAGTGAGCAGTCATCGAAAGTCTTAATATTCAGCATCATCCATAGAGGAGCGAGAATCGTATTAATCCGATTATTACATTTGATGTTTTCGGATATTTCTCTTTGTGGGCATACATTGTTTACAGCATAGTTTTAATTAAACCCGTATGAATCCAGAACGGAAAAATTGAAATTGCATTCGGGTAATTCAAACATAACGTGCATTCAGCGTTGAATTTTGCGTGATTTTTGTTCTAGATTGTAGGAGTTAATCCGATTATGCGCAATGTTTTTTAATGTTTCCATTCGTGAGGCACATTAGCCCGCACATGATTAATTCCTTATCGAAAAGTTTCGTGATTTCGCGGCGAGCTGGAAATTTATAAGCCATAAAATTAATTAGACGATGGCAGGTTAAAAAGGCGGTCGTTTGGCCGGCGTCGAGCCGAGGAAATCAATGCACAATGCAACAAACGTCAAACGTAATAACGCGAGGCGTTCGTGAAGCCGTTTGCGTGTTCGGCGCGCATACAGGGCGCGCTGGCAATCGGGGGTGGCATTTCGGTACGTAACATGTTTGTTGCGTTCGGGTGCTATCAGATTTCGGCGAGTTCCGATCGGCTGGCGGCTAATGACTCAATTGCGGGCGTAATTTTCATTCATGTGTCGTCGACATGTCGTCCCAAGTCACAACAAGCAGGAACACAACAGGAACCCACCTACGCACCCTTGGCGAGCTACTTCGGCCACACCAAAATTATGTAACGCTCAAAGCGACAAAACTCAAGAGCACGAATAAGGAAAAGAAAAAACAGAAAAAAGAAAATTTACATATTTTTCTGGGCAGGTTATTGTTCAACAGTCAACACTTGATTTGACTACAATAACCTGATGAAAGCCTCTCATATTTTTCCAGCAATAAATTAAATATTAGAAATATTCAGATAAAAAAATGCGAAATTAAGTGCCGCTAGAAGGATGGTTGCGGGCGCGCAAGAAATGACCATTGTGGACGCGCGAAAAAAAAAAACACAATGGGCAAAACGTCAACGGCACTACAGCGAGCGGCGAGCCACTCGCGCGATATTTCATTTACCCCCTGGTACGGCCGAGAAATTACTTAGCCAACAATCAACGTAACGTGCACTAATGTTCATGTAGACACCAGCTAGCTCCGACAACTACCTGCATCTACCGACTGGCATCATCAACTTGGTCATTCTTCACAACCCAAGATCAAATCAGTAAAATCTAACGAAATTAAATCTAATTATTTTTATAGTACTGATCAAAGTTACACAAAAACATAAAAAATTCTTCGGTTTAATTTAGTGTCTCGTGTTTTAAGTCGTACTAGAATGACTAAAATTGAATGTACTCCAAGGGTAGCCTGGAATAGGTGAGTACGATACATTCAATTGAGTCATTATTTAAATCGCGCGTTTCTAAAGCATTCGAGATCATAATCGATGCGCCGGCCGGGGCAGCAAACTACGAGTAATAACGATTTTCAATGTACGTACTCCAGCGGGGCAACGCACACGAGCGCTCGCTTAATTTCTATAATTTGCGCTCGTATAGTTGGCACTTTTTCATGTACACAAATCACACTCGCGGCCGCGCGTGTATTGTCCGGCTGGAAAGTTATTACGCTGACGAGCGCACACTCGTATGCACGGACACGCGTACCCTCGGCATTTCCATACCGAAAAACCGCATCATACCAAGTCGTGTCGGAATACCATCAATAAAATTGTGCTTTCTGTGTGTGACAATGAAAATCCGCAATATTTTCAGCGCCAA